AATTGGTTGAATAAATTTATTATTTCGGCAACTATTTAGTTTCTATTGAATAATAAATTTATTCTGCAGACAAATCATAATAAGCTGTCGGATAATTGCTTTTTTATTGATTTATTTTTTAAAATTTTGAAATCTTTTCTTATTATGGTTTATAGATCCTTTGGATCTGATGGCTTCATGGGTTGTCGATAAATTTTCTGCTGTTAAAAATAAACACATTCCAGTTCCTACATTTGAAGGTCATCCATTGACTAAAAATGAATTATTGGTACATTCAAATTTTGATAAATCATTGCTTATTATATACATTTATTATTATATCATTGTTTAAGAATTATTCATTTTCTTTTAATCATTAGAGACAAGTTTTTGTGAAGCCAGTTAAAGATGTACGTTCTTTAGAAATAACTTTTCCTTTCATAGAACAGGCGCCTTTATATATCTCAAAAGTATGAAATTTGTGTGATCTTGTATTTTCATTTATATTATGTAAGAAAAAAATTACTAATCACAATTATTAATAGCCAGGAAGGTATTTAACCCATTTAATTTCTCATGAAGGGTACGGTTCTATTTTGTCTCTTCTCAAAAAGAAAGGTAAGACAATCAAATCCAATCCAATTAATTTAATTTAATTAATTTGATTAATTGAAATATATTTTAAAAATCTGAATTTAATATTTGGCATGATTATATTGTATCTTAGGCTGGGCAAATTATTTAGAAGCTGGTTCTGTTCCTGGAGCTGTTGGATTTGAATTTTTTAAAGTGTCAATAGACCTAACAGAATCTGGAGTAGATCATTATAAAGAGGTAGTAAAAGTCGTGTTTCAATATATTAAAATGTTGAAACAAATTGGTATTCAAGAATGGTGCTTTCGAGAAGTATATATTTCTTTCATGGTTTATTTATCATTTATATTTCGAGATCTTTATAATTTATTACAAGATTTATTTTATTAAAGGTTCAATCTCTAGCAGAGATTTCATTTCGATTTAAAGAAAAATCAGCTCCAGCAGGCTATTCTTCGAAGCTTGCGAGTCTCATGCAAAACCCATTTTGTACGTTAAACACCTTTTTATTTTTGATTCATTTAATAAATTTAAAAACTATAGTTAATTTTTTTTCAACTTTAAAATAATAGCACGCGACTGTATCATAAGTGGGTCATATCTTATTCGAGAATATAATCCTAAACTTATAGTTGAAGGATTAAAATGTTTAGAGTGGGATAAGTTTACTCTCACTTTGGTTAGTCCGTCATTTACTGGCCTAGATCGAAAAGAATCGTGGTATGGAACTGAGTATAAAGTTGAACCTTTTAGCATGGAATTCATCGAGGTATTACTTAAACTATTATCTTGTGTAATGTTGTCAAATGACTTTAAATCAACTATTCTTACATATTTTACATATTATATATATATATATATATCCATAGGAATTGAAAAATATAGAAATTGATCCCGAGTTAAAAATTCCACCTCCTAATGAATTTATTCCAACAAAATTTGAAACGCATAAACATGAAATTGTTACGGTATAATATAAATTTATTGTAATATGTCAAATATGTCGAACTTAAATTTAATATTATATTACTACAATGATTGTTTTTTTTAGCCACAAACATGTCCAAACATCATTAAAAGCACTTTACTTTCTCGATTGTGGCATAAAAAAGACGATACATTTTGGGTACCAAAAGTTAGCTCATATTTCTTGCTAAAGAGGTATTAATAAACGTTTTTCATTTCATTACTTTTATATGTGCGTTTAAAAGTTTCTTCAATTTCATTATTTTAGAGATATATTTTCAAAACATAACTTAATATACATAAATAATTAGTCCTTTAGCATACGCACCATCACCATCGAACTGTATAAAAACCAGGTGAGTTAGTAATTGATTGATTTTTTAATGGATAAAAGTAATCAAAATGATTAAAGTGTTTAATACATTTAATATAAGGCTCTACACTGAATTAGTAAAAGATAACTTGACTGAATATTCTTATAACGCTGATCTTGCTGGTTTAAGATACGACATTGACACACAGCGTGAAGGAATACTTTTGACAATAAAGGGATATAATGACAAGCTTCATGTGCTTTTGAAAGATATTGTGGATGCAATGAACCCAAAATTTATTATTTATCCAGGCAGATTTGAAAAAGTTAAAGAACGACTCCAAAGAGCATACAAAAATACTTTTCTTGATCCTCCTCATCATCATGCTACATATTATCTTTCATGTCTAACACAAGACCAAATGTGGACAAATAAAGAAAAATTGGATGCATTAGAAGATATTACTGAACAAGATATAAAAGCTTTTTATCCAGAATTGTTTAGTCATTTGCATATTGAATCATTAGTTCATGGAAACATGTTTAAGGAGGAAGCTTTAAGATTGTTACAAATCGTTGAGGATGTTTTACAACCTAAACCTCTTTTACCAGCAGAGTTAATTGGTTGTAGAAGTATTATGTTACCAGAAGGGAAAAAATATTTATATCAACATGAAGTTCTAGATCCAAATAATGTTAATTCTGCGATAGAATATTATGTTCAAGTAGGAAATGTAGTTAATAAAAGGTTACGAGCAAAATCAAGCTTGTTGGCACAGATTATGCACGAGCCATGTTTCGATCAACTTCGAACCAAAGAACAATTAGGTAACAATAATTGTTTATTTGTATGAACTAGTTATTTGGGTGTCTCAAAGCGAAAACCTGAAATTCTTGATTTTCGGAAATTTCACTTTCAGAAACAGTGATCAAAATTCCCGATGGATTATAATAAATTCTATAACAAATTCTATTTAATGAATCATGCGTCTGATAAGCCCGTTTCTGTAAAATTGATTTTGGAAAATTCACAATTCTAGGTTTTCCCTTTACGACACCCATTTAATAGGATATTTATTATATTATTTTAATATAGACATTATTATATCACTTATATATATTTTTTTCTATTCTTAGGATACATTGTTTTTAGTGGATTGCGCAGAATGGCTAGTTCATTAGGTGTAAGGATTATAATACAAAGTGAAAAGGATGCAGTTTATCTTGAGAATAAGATTGAAGATTTTTTCAACACATTACAGGTAAATTCAAATAAAAGAGTTTTTTATATTTGAATGTTTTTGTCCAATAATCTAGTAACTTAAATATATATATGTGTATATATATTTGTTTAAATAGATTTTGATTGAAGAAATGCCGGAAGAAGAATATCAAAGGCAAATTCAATCTCTTATCACAAAAAAATTGGAAAAACCAAAGAATCTTTATCAAGAAGCTCAGCGATATTGGAATCATATTGATTCTGGATATTATGACTTCAATCAAGGTATTTCTACACCTTTGCAAATGTATAAATGTTTATATATGCTAATACGCTGTATTAATACACTATTTATGCTTTTACATTTCCGTAATAGTTGAAACTGACGTAGCAGAATTACGTGAAATTACAAAACTCGAGCTACTCGAGTTTTATAAACAGTTAGTCCATCCATCTTCACCAATACAAAAAAAATTATCGGTTCACCTTCGATCACAAAAAAACATTAAAAAATCAAAACCAATAGATATTAATCATCTTTATTCGTGTTTAACCGCTCAAGGTTTAACCACAATAACGATTGAAAATTTACAAACTTTCTTATCTTCCAAAGAAATAGTAGATGGTCAAGAATTAGAAACATTGCTAAAACAATTTTTAATCGATCAAAGCAAGGCTCAAGAGAGAGAGATTGAAGAATTGATTAAGAATGTTGGAGAGTCTTATTTAATTGAAAATTCTGTAGATGAAGAGAAAGTCGAATATGGTAATGCTATAGATGTAAGGTTATTAGATTTAAAACCAGGGAATGAAAAAATTGAAGATATTTATGTTTGGAAGAGTAACATGCAATTGGGTCCTGCTCCAACACCATCCATAAGGTTAAATGATTTGATGAGTAAGTTATAATATGAAATGGTCTTTATTACTTTACATGTATTTTAGCTAGATGTAACGTTGATTCTAGGTAACGAATCATGATTGGAATATTACCAGCCTGAATAATCTTTGAGATATGTTACACTATTAATTAATCGTATCGCCTTACTTTGAATTTGTGTTGATGTTTAATAATTGTTTTACACTCATAAAATGAATATTTCTGTATTTATTTACATAGATTTTTTAGACCATAGTCTTAATTACATTTAGATGTTATTTAATACAGAAAGTTGTTACAATCACAATTTGTAATATTTTAATATACTTGGCAGAAAAGAAATACAACGTTTTTTTCTAATATAAAAAATTTCTCAAATATAATTTCATAATATCGTATCGTATAAACGCGAAATAACGCCTTCATTCGCCTACCGTATTTTCGCATAATAACGCGCAGGGGTGTTATGTTATTTTTAATGCACCCATGTGCAGTGTTGTACGTTTTGACTGTCCAAAGGCTTTTTTGGTACTGTCCAACGTCTAAGTGTCCAAGTGTCCACAAGTGTCCAGAGCATGTCCAAGCTTTAATAATTAATAAATTTGTTTAAAAAATATATGATTATATATTTTTTTATGTGCTGAACATATTTTACTTAGAAATTAATATAGATTATCTTAATAAAATTTTGAGTAATTTTAATTTATTTAAATGTTCAAAATTGTCCAAAGTGTCCAAACTTGCTGTCCACAACTGTCCCATGACAACACTGCCCATGTGAATTATTTCGTCATATAGAACTTGGATCAGAATAACGCCCGTGTACTGCGATACATTCTGACATTAATATAGTAATATTAAACCTTGTTAATTATTTATTATAAATATATATTTATACCCGTATTTTCGCGTAACAATTCCCGTGTGCGTTATTTCGAAAATGTATCACCTAGAAATTACATACTTGGCTTCGAAACGACGCGCTATGCCATACTTGGACCAACGTAAATTAGCCAATCACGCGCACATATCATCATAGCGGGCTTTCATTGTGATTGGCCAATTTTTGTAGATCATCCCGTGATGTAGTAAAAATTTTATTGGTTAATCGAAAATAATCGAAGTTCAAAACAATAACTTAACTAAATTGTATTTATAAAAATAAATATAAAAGGTCTTTATCATGAAATCTCGATAACTTTAAATCTAAAACTATAATCTTGTCGCAGACATAAACCAAAAACAAACAAAAACAAAAAATACAAAAAATAAATGTTGAACCTATTCCTGTATTATAAAATACTAATGGTTAATAAAAAATAATCAACCCCGATTTTTTTGTTCGCTCCAACATCAAACTGATCTTTAATTTTATTATAATTGGTATAACAGTTACAATACCACTACTTCGCTTTAACTCTTCTCACGAAATCCATAAACCTTATTACTCTCAACTTCATATTCTTAAACTATATTATAGTCAAGATTCTATATTAGTTAGGATTACGAAGAATAAGTTTTCACAAAATATGTAAAAGACAGCTTAAATTGCCAAGTTTAATTGATTTATTGAACCCATAAGTTTAAACGTTCAAACATATCTCTTATCTAACTTCCGAATTACTTCGCGGATTACTAAATTACTTTGACAGTTTATGAAATAAGACGTGAACTTTCTAATTTTTTTTGTCTTTACCCTCTCGGAATTCATATTCGTGGCTCGGAATTCAATTTTGTGACAGAAAATCGTTATTTTAATATGATAAGATGATCGTCAAAATCAGCCAATCATAATAAAGCCCGCTATGCCTGGTAATAGTGTATGTATTTAATTATTTAGAAAAAAATTTTTTTTTTTATGTAAGGAAAAATGCTCCACTGTTCCATTTCGCGCAAAAACACACCATTTGTCAACCTTAATTATATTATTTCAAAATAACGTTATTTCACACTTATAAGTAATTTTGTAAGACGTAAGATGTACAGAAAGTTTATATCTTAACAAAAGAATATGCTCATGTTTGTTTTGGAGAATTTAATATTTCATAATGATAATTCATTTATTCAACTTAAAAAAATTTTTTTATTGTTAAATTTTTTGTTGCTTTTCAATTCTTGTTTTCTAATTCGGCAAACAATTCAGGGTAATGACGTTTACCTGCATCGGGATGTGAACTTGAATAGAAAAAAAAATAAATCGATATATGTTTAACATAACATTATAAAGTTTCTATGCTTTACCTTACCTAAGACGATTTAAAATTTGTGCATTACCAACATTTTTATAGAAACGCTCATGATAAACTGTATCAGCTAATGAAATGAAAATATATTAACTATATATACATTTAATTGGTTATTAAAAAAAAATAATAATGGTAATGATAATAGTAGGAAAGCATACCATCAGATACGACAGATGTTGGTGCCTGTCGAATTATATCTTCTGGAACGTCCAATGGTTCAAGCATTGTATCATAAGATATCATTTGAAAGAAAGGTATGCTTTTCATTGAAAAAAAGGGGAAATTATAAGTATTATATATAATTAAAAAAATTTTTTTTGTGATTAAAAAAGTACGTAATTAAAAATACTATGTCATCTAATAAACAAATCAATTTTAAAAAACAAAGCACGTACCTTATTCTTGGAATTAAACCCGGAGGTGGATTGATAACTCTATGTGTTGTGGCCACAGCTACCCCTCTAGTAACGGCTTCAATTCCTAACCCAATATTCACAACAAATGTTCCTTCAATTGGTGGAACATCTATCCAATCACCTTTATGGTTTTGAACTTGTAAACCCCATACATCATTAACTTGAAGAAGAAATGTTAACCAAGGATCTTTATGAGGACCAACGCCTTGTACAATACCATCTGAACCCAAAGTTAATGTATTTAATGGTGGATATTTAACAATCTAAAGTATCCACGCGTTGTAATTATTACTTTATATAAATTCAAATTTCAAGATTACTAGAGTTAAATACTCACCTTTAAACGATTCATCTGTTTATCATATGGGTCTAGAAATTTATTTAAAGAATCAGGAGGGAGACTCAAACTTGATGCTATCAGTTGTATAAATTCTAAAGAAAAATCAGACATTCTTTTAATATATTCCAACAAGATTTCTTTGAAACCAGGAATATATTTCTCATCAGGCCATTGATTAGGTCCTTTAAGTCTTCTATATATAGGTTCTCCTTCTTTCCAAGTACAAGGAACTTCTGCTCCAAAATCAAATTGTTCACGATGATCGTCTATACCTTGAGTCTTTTCTGCATCTAATTTACTGTATCCAAGAAAATGTGGTGAATTACAAATTTCAATTCGTAATTTTTCGGAAGTTGGAAGATCAAACAATTGAATGGAATATGATTTGATTTTTGTGACAAGTTCCTATTTGAATACATAAAATATCGATTATTATTTAAAACGGTTAAAAAGTTACTCTACCATAAATACCTTAGGAATCGGATGATTTTTGATATATAGAAAACCAACATGGAAAAGTGCATTACGAAGTTGAGATAAAAATTCATTTTTTTTAAGACTATGAGCGAGACTATAATCCAATATTGGTAAAGAGGTAAAATCTAATTGATTATCTTCCATTTTTCTTATTGACTTTTTTTGTTGTTAGAACGAGTTTTTGTGACAGAATTAAAATAAATATTCCCATGAAATTGACGCAATCGCACCTTTTTGTTTATTAATATTATTTTGGTTAAATTTTGTTACGCAGAAATAGAGATGGGTTGTCCAGGCACGGGTTGTTCACAACCCGTGCACAGCGAAGTAATATTATGTCGGAGCAGTGAAGGAAGCGAAGGAGTTCAGTAGCTCATAGGGAGGGAAATATACATGAATTTTCGCTTTAATAAGGTTTTCCACACACTTCGATGTCTTGAATATGAAGATATTAAGAATTGATTTCTCAATACTTGGTTTGATTTTGTCGTTAGTATTAAAAGCCTATTTTATATTGCAAATAGAAAACCTGGGACTGGCATGAATCCCAAATTCCGTATGAATTCTAAACACCGTATAAATTCAAAATACTACATTGATAATTAAAATTTTGTTATCAATCGCTGTAAGGCCAATACTTATATTTAATTAATCGATACAATAATCAATATACGTTGATTTTGAATAAACATAGGTTGTAATAGAATACCAATTCGTATTCGAATTGTTAAAGAATTTAAATTGGCTTACAATAAAATTAGTGGATTCTAAATTATTTTATCAAGTCTATTGCATTGGAATTTAAGTCACTTTAAGATAAAGTTTATAATTAAACTAAAAGCATTACATAAAGTTTATTAACCACTACTACCACAAAGCAAATTCGTTTTTTACCTACTTGTAGAGGTTGCGTAACAGATGCTTCTCAAATGTTTACAAGCGTCAAAAGAATATTATCCAATTCCGAAAACTTGTCAGAATCAAATGAACACGAGTAGGTTTTGATTAGATTATAGGGTTTATAGCAAATGTATTATTATTACAATATTATCGTTATAATAACAACCTTAATTGTATTAAATGGCGCTAATTTAAGCCGTCTAATACTAACCTAAAGACATCTCACCCAATATACCATTTTTCGATAGCAGTATGTTACGCCCAAAATTGGGAGAGCGATATTTGTGTTCAACAAATTAGCTTTGGGCGCAGCATAAATTATGTGAGTATTTTATTAGAGATGCTGTACTAATCTGTTATTTCACTCTTCTAGGGAACGATACATTCTATATACTTTTACTTATTTTTTATTATTATTATTTTTTTTTTTAGAGTTCGAAGGTGAGGTCGTGCCTCGTGTCTTTTTATTAATATTATATTTTATTCAAATTTACGTCTATATATTATTAGATCACACGACTTAGACTACTTTATCTATGATCTAGACCTTACCCGCAGGATCTACGGACAGTTCTTACAGACAGTCAAATTCACGTGATATTGCTAAAACCACTAACCTTTAACTGTCCCTAACGCAAAACATTCATTTTTGATACACCTGCACCTACTTTTTTGATACACTTAAATGTGCCCTTACTTTTTTGAGATAT